TACCAACTTTACAACCCGTACTTTAAATTCCTGTTTTTGGAAACTTTGTAGAATTGCCAAGAGTAGAATTAAATCTATGAAACTTTGTAGCAGTAATTTTGGAAACCTAAATATATTTTTCCTGACGTGAATAATAGAAGTAGATAGACAATTAATTTATGAAAAAGGATATTCTGAGTATTTAAATTGGGATACACATCTAGACTACATATATAGACTATAGACCTTTAGCTGAAAGCATATTCTAACAATACACTTATTATGGTTTTCAATGTTGAGTAAGACAATGTATCGAAAGGCTTGAAATAGTAAATATACACATGAACAAAAGGAGTACACAAGCCTAAAAAGTTATAGGACTGGTAAAGAAATAAATTTTGATGATAAGTGAAGGCTCAGTAACACTCACTAAGTGGCTTGTATTGTAGTCCTGCGCTGAAATTCCCTTTTCTCCCAACTAACCATGCACCATATGGTACCTCACCAGGAACTGCAAAGAAAGTGATATAATTAAGCATAACATAACATAACATGAACAAAACTAAAAATACTATTAGTTACAAAGCATTGTAACTAAAAGGGTTCAAAATCAAGACTAACAACTACTTGGGTAGATATTATAAATTTCCATTATTTGATTGTGCAAACTTCAATAAATTTTCATTCTTTGAGTGTGCGAACTTCAGCAAGTTTCATTCATATATAATAACAAGCATGTATGTACTCGCATACAGGGAAACGGCAAAAAGGACGCTCCAATTGATAGATTCCGTGAAACATATCTTAAACCCATGACACCATAGTCCTCTGAAGACGCCCTGCAAAACAATCAAAAAAATGTAATTCATATAATGGAGAAATCAAAGAAAAAGTAAAAAAAAAAGAGAATGCCTATTATACCAAAGCATGGACATTTTTCTTAGTAATACCAAAAGATTGAACCTATATATGTAAAAAGTGCATGCATGGATGATCTGTAAGTGTAAACAAGAGGTACAAATAAAGCCCACCTGTTTTCCATAAGCAGAGGGAACGTCCCAAAGGCGCCAATACCAATACTAGGATAGTAAGCGGCTGACCTCAGTCGCAACATGCTGGATTACAAGTTATTAAAGACAAATCAGCATCACGTGTATATATGCACCATCTCTCATACAGAACGTAAAATAGAAGTGATGATTCAATAGGCCATCCACGACCGACAAGAAAGTGCCTACCGTTTCGAAGTCGACGCGAGAATATCCACAAAATTATGCGGATCATCCACATCCCTGAAAGATTTCATGCATCAAGCCAATTTGCATTTAGGGTATAGTAGAAAGTATATCATATTAAGAGAAAAGGGAATGTGGATGACTTCGTTGAGGAGAGGATCACCTCTGCCACCGCATGAGAGCCTCCCCGCCATTTTTAGACATCTAGTGAAATTCAGTTAAGAGACAAAAACTATTTTCATTGGGGCCAAATTTGTCAAAATAGAGCAGCGCTAGCCACCAGTGGCGGAGCCAGGATTCGAGTATAGGGGAGGCCGAGTACGTATATTGATCTAATCTCGTTGGTAATTACTCGCCGCTCCTACTAAAATTGTCGATCGTTGGGGAGAGCAAGGCCCCTGCTTGTCCCCCCCACCCCGGCTCCGCCCCTAGTAGCCACGCACAAAACTAAGAAACGGCAAAAATACCGGTGGTAATATAGATAAAAAACTATTAAGAAAAGGAAAAACTCATGCATCATGATACATGTAATATTGAATGGATACGGTGGCGGCGAGATCAACGGGTGTCGTCCAAGGGCGCCCTGAAGAGAAGGCCCGCGTCGACGACCCCCTTCCCGGGCTGGTGAAAGTAGTCGTGGAACAGGGCGCGCAGGGAGAACTTCCTGAACATGAGATCGTACGCCGGCACCGACATCCTGCATCATCCCTCCCCCTCATCAGCAAGAGCAAATTGAATCATATACGTAGTTACCAGTAATCTATCGCGAGAGGGTGTTGCACGTACGAGCGAGGTAACTGATCAAGAAGGATTTAGATATTTTATAGATGGGAAGGCGGAGGGAGGAAAGCTGGCTAGCGATCGAGCTCACTTGGTGCGGGCGGCGGCGGGTGGGAAGTCGAAGACTCTGGGCACCAGGATCGCCAGCGGCGGGTTCGGCTTCTTCTCGGGAGCACCCATCGATGCTGCTGCGGCAATCTCGAGATCGATCTGTCTCCAAACCAAACGACCGACCGGCCAAGATCGCGACTAGTAGCAGTTAACCAAAAGCTGGGGTTTGTTTCTACCTTGGCCGGGTTCTTAGATTTCAGGACACAATCTTGTCGTTAATTATCCCTTATGCTCTTTTTTTTTTGAGCAACACTTGTTTATCCCTTATGCTCTTTGTTGAGAAGAGGAAGAAGACTCCTTTCTCTTTCTTCTTTCTTGCTACTAGTAAATTCGTAATATTTAGGCAATATATTAATTGTACACGGATATTAGATATGTTATTGTATTAATCATGTGATTAGTGCAGTATTTGGTATGATATTAATTGCACGTTAAATACGGTTAACGCTCGCCATTGAAGCAGTCTAGGTCGTTGGATTGACTTAGTTTGATGGCCGAGATCAGTTGGATCTGGCTCTTTGGTTCTTTTTATTTTAAAATATTGGTATAGATATAGATAAACAAGGCTAAGCCTGCAGACATGAGCCACGGTTAGTCATAGACTGCGCACGTCTTTTTTTCTTTTCTTTTTTAAGAAGAAAAAGCGCACGCCTTTTTTTATGAGAAGATGCATGTCGATTTTTTATACATACTAAACATTTTTAGATACATGATTACTCTTTTTTAATGTGTTTCTGAATACATGTAATTTTATTTATCAAATACATGTTGACCATTTTTTAAGTGATATAATTTTTTTAAATTACATGAACTTTTGTACATTGTATAAACATTTTTTAAATGTCATGGCATATTTTGGAACACGTGGATAGTTTTTTAAACTGTCACATACATTTTTATTAATTATGCAAACATATTGTTTACATTGTATAACATATTTATACACTTTATAACATTTAAAAGTATCACATACATATTTTAAACATATAAACATTTTTAGTGTCATATATATTGTTTTGTATATTATGAAGATTTTAAAATGACGGTAACATATTTTTTATACTCCGTTAACATTTTTTTTCAAATTTGCGATGAACATTTTTACATAAATTAAGTTTCTGGAACATATCCATTTAAAATATGAAAAAGATATGAACAAATTATTTTTGAGACATAAATAACGAACAAATGAAAAGCAGGAATGGAAAACGAACGAGGGAATTTACTTGGGCCGACCCAATAGTAGTGACATGAGGGCGCCCTTGATGGGATACCATATCTCGCTGTGGGCGATATCTAAGCGCTCCCCAGCGAAAGGCCCCGACCTGAGGAGGGCAAAGACCACATGTCAGTTGTCAGGCGTTTGTGACGCTGCCGACCTCTTCCCCCTCCACCCGCCGCGAGCAACGGTACACCTACAGGTTGGCTATGTTTACGAAGGAGAACCACTTGGCAAATTTTGATTGAAAATAGGGAGGAGGAAGGGTGCCACCCTAGTGAAATTCAGGGAGGGAGAGAGAATTCTTAGGAATGTTTTTTTACCACATAGATACACAAGCGCTCATACATACACATATACACACATCCTTATGAAAGCGCGCACACCATATCCCTATGAGCACCTTTGAGAGACCGAGTCGACACATTATCTTGATATTGACAAAGCCGCCGCAGTCGCCTTTGTAGTCAACGGGAGCATATCCTCCCACTAAACGCACATCATGGGAAGGTCTGGAATAAATCGAGAAAAATACAAGCAACAATATTAATGAACAATGAACTTTAGTGAGCTAAGGATAGTACTGTCCTCCTAACCATCCAACCCCAACCATAGGTTTGTTCGCGATTGAGGAATGTTACCAATTTCATAGCGGTTTCGTAGGTGTAGCTAGCCGTGTAGGAAGTAGGATTATGGACCCTCTGCTCTGGCAACACGAGGGGGTGACCTGGTTCTCCCTTTATGCTTTAGTAATTTATAGAGGACAAAGTCATATCTGTATGTTCGAACCAATGGAGAACCAGGTTACCCCCTCATGTATTCGAAAGAGCTTTCCGACAATATAATTTTTGTGACATATAATTTGTATTTCGTTAGTTAAATTTATAGTTCAAACTTTAGCCCAAAATAAAAGAGGCCTAATAAATCCGGACGCAGCGAGACTTTCTTTTTAATCGTCTCTCAACTCCTAATGGAACTGCTTCGCACTTACCTAATTAGCCAAAAGCTTCCTGTCGGAAAGCCAACGTGTTTGGTTTGGCTGGATATTCTCAGTGGAAATCCATCAGTATATATAAGTAACCTAAAGAGTGTATAGAGTAGAATGTTGTAAATCTCCACATTTGTATTGACTGCAATAGTTTCATGCGCCTAATTAAGTCTATCCCGAAGACAGGGGAGATATAATCAAATACATAAATATATATTAATGCAAAGATATGATTTCATGGTTGATCTAAACGAAACATTACTGTAAGCGATGAGATCGCTGCATGCGTTGTTCACAACACAAGGACTGACAGGTGGACACAAACGGACACAGGGTTGTCTGTGTGATGAACACACAGACAGACACAGGCGGGAATTTGTGTCGCTGCCACAGCATAACGACATTTTATTTCATTTTCAACAGAAACAAACAACACACATGCAGAAAGAACAACACCCGAGGAAGATAAACACACACTGACACACACGTAGAGAACCACTTATTACAAGGAAGGTAGACACACACTCTCTCAAGAAAATTAAGGGAAGCTCGGTAAACACACATTCGCCTGCCGTGCAGTAGTCGTAGGACAGGACAGCAGACCCAAACATGCAGAAAGACGGACACACCATGCGTCCATGATAACCAAGCGCGATGGAAGAAGGGCTAGCTTCTTGGTTACCTTCCTCTATTGGTGCTTCTTCACAACAATGAGCTCGAACGCCTTGAACACACCAGCAATGCTACCTATCGCAGCAAAAAACGTCGCGATCTTGGTAAAGTATAGGTAAAAGAACCTGTGCACCGCGATCCAAAGCCAATTGCCGAGCTTGTACTCCTCAATGCTTTCCAGGATACTCACATAGCGTTCGCCCGAGGGCAGGTGCTTGCCAAGGCTGGTGAACAAGTCGAGCGTCTCCCGGTCGGTGAGTTCTCCTTGTACGAGATGCATAGCTCGCAGCTGGTGCACGTCGTCCTCCCGGTGCATGAGCATGGCGAGGATACCGACGTAGGAGCAAACCACAGTATTGTTGTCCACAAAAGATATGCCCGTGCATACCTCCAAAGCCGCCATGTTGACGAGGCAAGTGACGGATACATTGCCCAGTAACATCGGTGGCAGGACGAGCTTGCGGCCGGGCAAGAGGCTTCTCTTGTTGATGCGCATGTCCGCGAACATGTTTCCGTCGCTCACCTTGAGCTTGATGCCGATTTCTTCGAGCCCGATGGCGTTAAAAGATACAGAGATCTGGTTTGGAGTATTGACGAGCATGTCCACTTGCCGTGTCATGTCTCCTTTCATGTGGAACCGGAGGAGAGCAAGGAGATGACCCGGCCTGTAGTCACCGAGCTCAAAGCCTTGTTCCACCCCGAGACCCCTGCGAGCATGGAAAACACTTGCCAACCGAACAATGAATCTTGTCACGGGCACGTGGCCCGTAAGATTGATGAGACTGCTGAGCACAAGCCAGGGGAGCTGGTTCTCTAGTAGCATGATGTCATTATTGATGACAGAGCGCTTGGAGTAGAAGAGGTGTGCCAGCGACGGTGGCCCTGTGTTAAGCATACGCACTCTAATATACTGCAGCAGCAAGCAAGCATCATGGAAAAGCATATCTGCAAATTCAACGTCTCCCATTGGCGGTGGCGGATTATTGCCATGTTGGGCTGCGGCAGGCGGTGCCTGCTGCTGCTGCTCCTGCGCCGGCGCCTGCTGGTGCGCGTCTCCTGAAGGCGCCCGGGGCGGCGCGGCACCTGCGGCTGCGGCTGGTGCCGGCGGGATGATGCCGTAGCCGTACAGGAGGCGGGCGGTGCCCGCCACGTGGAGGACTGCTGCGTATAGCTCTTCTCGCGTGGGCTCCACTTGGTTGACGAAGTGGTCGGTAGCCAGGCGCTTCACCTGCTCCATCCCCTGGAGGTGGGGTAAGTGGCGGTGGTAAGGACCGATGGCTACCAACATCGGTTCGATGTACCGGGTGCCCAGAGCCCTTAGCCCTGCCGGGAACTTGTAGATCCTCGATATCCTCAGGTTGTAGTCACCCTCAAAACCAAAAGCCGGTGCTGCTTGGTCTTGATTCATGGCCACTGCAGTTGAACCAGCTGCAATTTAGTTTAGCTAGTGGTTTGGTGTTGCCATCCAAGTCGACTGTGCACCCTTTTATACTAGCTAGCACTAGCAGTAGCGGCCTGGGCGCATGTGGGTGGGCAACTAGCCAACTATACTCAATCAATAATTTGTGTGTAAGTTCATTCACAAATTAATTAAAATTTGCGTACGCGCTGGCAACGACTTGCTATATCTACTGTTCCTCCTATAATTCCAACCGGAAAATCTTATAGTAGTACTACTAAAAGATAATTACCCATATATATTTAATTACACTCAGATCTCTCTCTCTCTCTCTCTCTCCCTGAATTTAACATCCAACCAATCCCAAAAATCCAATATACTAGTAGGAATTTTTACAGAAGCAAAATATGCATGTGACAACAGATTACGTGAGTGAAGATAATTACAGAAGCAAAATCACGGCTTTTACTGCCCAACATGGCGCGCTAGTTAGGAAGTCGACGATCGATGATGAGAAAAGCTTCATGACCCGGTATATATTCTAGTGTGTTCTCATGGCTGGCCGGCACACTACAAGGGGGCGGACCGGAGGTGGCGCCGATGGGAGTTAGGGTACACTAATCGCCTTGTCTCCTGCCCGCGGAGGTTCAGTTTCATCACTGGGTATTCTAGTCAATTTACTTTCCCTGTCCTTCCTTTCACCGGTGAGTTTTCCCTGTAAACCTTACCATATTTCCTCCTCGATCTCGCCATTAGTAACGCACAGAGTCGACAAACAAACATCCCGGCCGGGCCGGGCGGTTGCCATCTACATGATGCGCGGCCCTGCAAGCATCTTCGTCTGGAAAAGAATTCTATAAGACCAGGTCTCACACGAGACCCATCCTGATGGATAACACATGACATTCACAAATCATAAAAATAATAGGTTAGTCCCAAAAATAATATAAAAGTGAATAATAAAGCCCAAATAATGTCCAAAATAATAGATAATATAGCATGGAGCAATCAAAAATTATAGATATGCTGGAGACGTATCAAACATCCCCAAGCTTAATTCATGCTCGTCCTCGAGTAGGTAAATGATAAAAAGGATAATTTTTGATGCGGAGTGCTACTTGGCATAATTTCAATGTAATTTTTCTTAATTGTGGTATGAATATTCAGAGTCAAAATATTCAAGATAAAAGTTCATATTGACATAAAAATAATAATACTTCAAGCATACTAACTAAGTAATTATGTTTTCTCAAAATAACATGGCCAAAAAAAGTTCATCCTTACAAAATCATATAGTTTAGTCATGCTCCATTTTCGTCACACAAAAATGCTCTCATCATGCACAACCCCGATGACAAGCCAAGCAATTGTTTCATACTTTAGTAATCTCAAACATATAAACTTTCACGCAATATATGAGCGCGAGCCATGGACATAGCACTATGGATGGAATAGAATATGATGGAGGTTATGCGGAGAAGACAAAAAGAAGAAAGTCTCACATCAACGAGGCTAATCAATGGGCTATGGAGATGCCCATCGATTGATGTTAATGTAATGAGTAGGGATTGCCATGCAACGGATGCAGTAGAGCTATAAATGTATGAAAGCTCAACAAAAGAAACTAAGTGGGTGTGCATCCAACTTGCTTGCTCACGAAGACCTAGGGCACTTGAGGAGGCCCATTGTTGGAATATACAAGCCAAGTTCTATAATGAAAGGTTCCCACTAGTATATGAAAGTGACAAAACAAGAGACTCTCTATCATGAAGATCATGATGCTACTTTGAAGCACAAGTGTGGAAAAATGATAGTAGCATTGTCCCTTTTTTGGCCTTTCTTTTTTTTATTTGGTCTTTCTCTTTTTTTGGGACAATGCTCTATGAATGATGATCATCACACTTCTATTTACTTATAACTCAAGAATTACAACTCGATACTTAGAACAAGATATGACTCTATATGAATGCCTCCAACGGTGTACCGGGATATGCAATGAACCAAGAGTGACATGTATGAAAGAATTATGAATGGTGAACCCACAAGTATAGGGGATCACAACAGTTTTCGAGGGTAGAGTATTCAACCCAAATTTATTGATTCGACACAAGGGGAGCCAAAGAATATTCTCAAGTATTAGCAGTTGAGTTGTCAATTCAACCACACATGGAAACTTAATATCTGCAGCAAAGTATTTAGTAGCAAAGTAATATGATAGTAGTGGTAACGGTAGCAAAAGGTAATGGTAGCAAAAGTAATGTTTTTGGTATTTTGTAGTGATGATAGCAATGGCAACGGAAAAGTAAACAAGCAAAGAACAATATATGGAAAGCTCTTAGGCAATGGATCGGTGATGGAGAATTATGCCGGATGTGGTTCATCATGTAACAGTCATAACCTAGGGTGACACAGAACTAGCTCCAGTTCATCAATGTAATGTAGACATGTATTCCGAATATAGTCATAAGTGCTTATGAAAAAGAACTTGCATGACATCTTTTGTCCTACCCTCCCGTTGCAGCGGGGTCCTAATGGAAACTAAGGGATATTAAGGCCTTCTTTTAATATAGTACCGGAACAAAGTATTAGCACATAGTGAATACATGAACTCCTCAAACTATGGTCATCACCGGTAAGTATCCCGATTATTGTCACTTCGGGGTTAACGGATCATAACACATAATAGGTGACTATAGACTTGCAAGATAGGATCAAGAACTCTCATATATTGATGAAAACATAATAGGTTCAGATCTGAAATCAAGGCACTCGGGCCCTAGTGACAAGCATTAAGCATAGCAAAGTCATAGCAACATCAATCTCAGAACATAGTGGATACTAGGGATCAAACCCTAACAAAACTAACTCGATTACATGATAAATCTCTCCAACCCATCACCGTCCAGCAAGCCTACGATGGAATTACTCAAGCACGACGGTGAGCATCATGAAATTGGTGATGAAGGATGGTTGATGATGACTATGGCGACAGATTCCCCTCTCCGGAGCCCCGAACGGACTCCAGATCAGCCCTCCCGAGAGTTTTAGGGCTTGGCGGCGGCTCCGTATCGTAAAACGTGATGAATCCTTCTCTCTGATTTTTTTCTCCCCGAAACCAAATATTTAGAGTTGGAGTTGAGGTCGGAGGAGCTCCAGGGGGCCCACGAGGTAGGGCGCGCGCCCCCACCCTCGTGGAAAGGTGGTGGGCCCCCTGTCCTTCATCTTTTGCAAGGATTTTTTTATTATTTCTGAAAAGTTGTTCCGTGAAGTTTCAGGTCATTCCGAGAACTTTTTTTCTGCACATAAATAACACCATGGTAATTCTGCTGAAACAACGTCAGTCCGGGTTAGTTCCATTCAAATCATGCAAGTTAGAGTCCAAAATAAGGGCAAAAGTGTTTGGAAAAGAGGATACGACGGAGACGTATCAACTCCCCCAAGCTTAAACCTTTGCTTGTCCTCAAGCAATTCAGTTGATAAACTGAAAGTGATAAAGAAAAATTTTTACAAACTCTGTTTGCTCTTGTTGTTGTAAATATGTAAAGCCAACATTCAAGTTTTCAGCAAAGATTATGAACTAACCACATTCATAATAACGCATAGGTCTCCAGTTTACTCATATCAATAGCATAATCAACTAGCGAGCAATAATAATAAATCTCGGATGACAACACTTTCTCAAAACAATCATAATATGATATAACAAGATGGCATCTCGCTAGCCCTTTCTGAGACCGCAAAACATAAATGCAGAGCACCTTTAAAGATCAAGGACTGACTAGACATTGTAATTCATGGTAAAAGAGATCCAGTCAAGTCATACTCAATGTAAACTAACAGTAATGAATGCAAATGACAACGGTGCTCTCCAGCTGGTGCTTTTTAATAAGAGGATGATGACTTAACATGAAAGTAAATGGATAGGCCCTTCGCAGAGGGAAGCAGGGAATTGTAGAGGTGTCAGAGCTCGGTTTTGAAACAGAGGTGAATAATATTTTGAGCGGTATACTTTCATTGTCAACATAACAACCAAGAGATGGCAATATCTTCCATGCTACACACATTATAGGCGGTTCCCAAACAGAATGGTAAAGTTTATACTCCGCCTCCACCAACAAGCATCAATCCATGGCTTGCTCGAAACAACGAGTGCCTCCAGCTAACAAGAGTCCCAGGGGGAGTTTTGTTTGCAATTATTTTGATTTGATTTGCATAAAGCATTGGACTGGGCATCCCGATGACCAGCCATTTTCTCGTGAGTGAGGAGCGGAGTCCACTCCTCTTGAGAATAACCCGCCTAACATGGAAGATACAGATAGTCTAGTTGACACATGAGCTATTCGAACATACAAAACAGGATATTTATTTGAAGGTTTAGAGTTTGGCACATACAAATTTACTTGGAACGGCATGAGCACTACTAGGAAAAGGGCTACTAATGGTGCACCAGTTTTGCCTACTAATGGCGCATTACTGGTGCGCCATTAGTATCACGCCACTAGTATTTTTTACTAATGGCGCACCATTGGTGCGCCATTAGTATAGGCCACGGTGCGCCATTAGTATAGGCCACTGGTGCGCCATTAGTGTAGGCCACGGTGCGCCATTAGTATAGGCCACTGGTGCGCCATTAGTATAGGCCACGATGCGCCATTAGTATTTTTGAATTTTGAAGGCGGGAAAATAGTAGTGGCGCACCGTCTAACCCCCACCGTGCGCCATTGCTATTTTTGAATTTTGAATTTGGATCTGGATCGTGATTTTTTTGCCCATTTTTTGCTAGTTTTTTTTGCTCGTTTTTTGGCACAACATTATTTCAAATTTTGTTCCTATTTTTGGATCTTGTACGTTCTTTTGCCGTGTTCTTTTGCCGGAGAGGAGTTCACCGGAGAGGAGGAGGAGGAGGAGGTCACCGGAGAGGCGCTCGCCTACATCGCCGGAGAGGAGGAGGAGGTCGCCAGAGAGTTCACCGAAGCATCGGAGAGGAGGAAGATGAAACGATGAGGGAA